TGTGAGAATGCATAGATCAGGGTGAGACTATGATCTGTGGGTTGTGTGTGTGCAACTACACTCTCTGAGTGTGAGAATGCAATGGTGAGAGTGAGTGTACCTGTCTGTGTGACACTGACGCTGTGAGTACCTGTGGGGGACTTGATGATGCGACCATGTGTGCATTGTGCAAAGGTTCATCCCATCTGTGTATTGATATTGGTGCCCAAGTGTGATTGCACAAACATGTGAGTGAAGCACAGATGTGAATGTGTATGTGAACATAGGGAGAGCAAAGCCATGAATGCATATGTGAGCATGGGTGCAAGTATTAGTACATTTCTAAGTGCAGAACGTATAAATAAATGTATGTAACTGAAATATGTATATTACCAGATGATCTTAGATGGAGAGATCCTGTGCCAGGCATGGCCTCTTCTCTCTTCTGTTTATTTCTGTACATGTGTTAGCTTCAAGATAAAAAGTGCCCCAGCTTGGCTTTAGCCTGGCAGCAGCCCTGAGTGCGCAGTTGCTCTGCCAGCTCAGTGTGTTTGTGTGCTCTTGTGAGAGAGTTGGTAATTGTGAGCGCTCCCTAAGAGAATCTCTGGGGCCAGGGGATACAATAGGCAAGGGTCTAGGGTCTGAAACTGTAGACTTTAATAAAGCCACTGACAGCAAATAAGAGCCTGACATGTGAGTCACATTACTGACAACAAGGGCTGCTTTGTAGTCCCATCTGCACCCTGATCGGGTCCCGTACAGTAACTGAAAGGACAGAACAAACTGCTGCTGCCTTCAATAAATACAACAGTGCCACAAAGGCGGCCGAACAGACCAACTTTGTGTGGCTTTGCTGCAGCTGAGCTACTCCCCTGCTCCTCTTGCTCGCCTCCCCCACCAGTGAAAATGACTGACGTTACCTCGTAAGGGTTGCTTTGGAGCCCTGACTATGTGCTTGTCCCCATGGCAGTCATTACATGTAGCCCTGTAACATCTTTCTTCCCTGCCACCCCTTGTGTTCCTTCATAGCCTTTCTCTGCTTCCAGTGACTGGGAGAGGCCTGGAGCCTCTGCTCATGAGCCATGTCCCCTGGACCTCATGCCCCTGTCTGAGCTAGCCAGCACTGGGAGCTTAGCAAAACCTTACATCAGGCTATGAGCATAGGTACCTGAGGTGTCAGTAGCTTGAATAGTTACTCCGGACTCTCACCGGAGTGGTCATGATGACAATGTTGCCAGTACATTTCTTGCCTGTACAGAAACTTGAATGCCTTTCAGTTGCTTAGTGGTTGGTCACCTCCCTAACCCAGGTAGCATTAGGAACAAGAGTGTTTTCTATTTATCCAGGCGTCAGAAACTTTTTTTGCTGGCTGCCCTCAGGGTCTCTTACTCTTCCCTCCATCTGGGCCTCTCCCCTTTGGCTTGGAGACTTCCCCAGAAGAGCTTTCACATGGAGCAAAAAACCCTTGCAGATTGACCCCTCTTCAATGGGAATTTGTGCCACTGTTGTCTTTCTCAATGCTTTTCTGGCCTCTCTTTTTCAGTTTGTCCCAATAGCCCTAGAGAAAGGGCTTTAGTTGGACTGCATGTGTTGTCATGTACTGAAAGAGTTATAAACTGTGGAAAAGATCACTAGCTTATAAATCAAAGTCTATGGTTGCCAAAGGGGTGATGTTAGGTATCAGGATAAGGTCTGTGATAGTGTAGGAATCTGTGTTGTCTGTCCTAGCCCACTGCATGTCAGTCCACCTAGCAAAAAGTCTAAATTCTTCTCTACTTGAAAAAATGGAAAATCAGACTCAACAGTTTATGCCTAGCAGAAACTGTGTCCTCCTGTATCATGTAGTGTACACAGAGCTGGATTCCCTGGAGGTAAGGGTGGGATCCCTACCATTTGCCCTGTGCTTCGACAGTGTGCAGTAGAGCCTGTAGCCTGCCCTGCCAGTGTCTAATTGACACTGTCTTCAGACAAGAGGGTCTCAGTCATAGTGATTTGTTCCTAAGGTATAAGACTTACCTACTTTAAAGGTCAGATTTTTCAGCTGGCAATCTATATACTGTAGCTTTTGGGAACATAACATGGTAGAGGTGGGAATGCAGCAGATCTTTCCTTGAGAAGGTGAATAGATTTCAGGAAGCAAACAAATTCAGGTGCTGAGCATCTTTAGGAAATCCTACAGTACAGTCTTGTGTGAAAAATACCTCTCTGTGACTTTACATCTCCTTCTGTTCAAGCAAACACTTCAGATTACATTAAAGATGGGAAAGTACAGACCAGCATAATACAAATCAGCAAGCAATAGGAAGCAATATCTCCTACAGATGTATGCAGAAGAGAAAGAGAGAAGGATTTCACTGGTGTCACATAGAAAATGCCCAGATCCTATAATACGAGGTGTTGATAGGTGATGTTTGTAGGAACAACTTGTGATGATGATTTGCATAACACAGTGATATTTCTTAGAGTTAATCTCTGGACCTTCTGCTAGAGATTTCTGTTCTCTTTGTATCAATAATATATAACGGATTAAACACCACTGTTTTGAAATAAAGTTTCTGGTGCTGCTTCTCAGCTATGTAGGTTAAGTCCTGTAGGAAATGTCTGTACTTCTCAGGGAAACGTCTGGAATTCTTGAAAAAATAAATTAGAGTATCTTATGGCACTATTAAAAGAGAATGCAGATTCCCCCACATCTGGCTCAGCGCTTTTATCACATAAGAAGCTTCCCTTTTGCTTGGTGTTTAGGCCAAGAACTGGACAGGATGAGGCCAATAAACCTGCAGTCATGGTATTTTTTGGTGTGTGTCAGCCCCTCAGTCCTCACCTGTGCTTACTTCTTGTAGAGGCTTCAGCTAAGGCACAGCTGGCGAAAGTGGGAAATTACTCTTAAGCAAGGAGTCTACAGCAACAGCACTAGTACCTTCCTCTGGAGCCCCTCCACCTCTTGAACAGGCAGGAACTGAGAGATCCCATTTCTAGTAGCTTGATACCTGAGGAGAAGAAATGTTTCCTAGAAGGAGATGGAAGGATGGAGCCCAAAAGAACAGGAATGGACTTGGCACAGACATGCTGGATTGTATGTTACTGCAGGGAGTAGGAAGCTGCTCTCTTGTCCCAGCTGTTCTGCAGCAGGCAATCTGAGAGGACAGGTTTAAATTCTTCTTGCTGTACTTTGAGAAAGGTGCAATTGGTATTTTTTTTTTCTCTCAATTTCTTTTTCTTTTTTCCTTTCATTGAAGAACTGGTTGGTTACGTCATTGAAGTAATCATTTCTGGAGAAGCATAGCTCATTGAGTGCCAAAGTAGTTCAGTTTTAATTTTTCCAGGTTTCTGAGTGGGTTCTCAAAGTGATCTTTACTAATGATCCCTGAAGATTGAACCTGATTCTATCTGTTGTTAAGCAGAGCTTGTCAGAAGTGCTATCATAAAATGCAATGGAAAGCTGAGTGCAAGTATATAAAAAAATAGAAACAATAATAAAAAAATCTTAAGGCAAACAGAACTTTGGAAAAGAAAAGCTGTGGAAGGCACTGGAGATTATTTTTACACTTTCCTCTGATAAAGCTGAAGCCTAATTCAGTTCTCTCTGAATGCAGAAAAGAACTAGGGCTGCATTTGGCAGCCCATGAAGTATTGGCTTAGTCTGTACAGCCTCATCTAGCATACCAGAGAGTGAAGGACAGGATAGCCAGATTCAGGCTAACAAGTTACAGAAGAGCATACCAGTCTCATCACGCTCTTTTTAAAATTTATTTTCCCACCCTTCCCCCCCACCCTCCCAAGAAATGCTCATTTGTACGCTAATGACTTTTTGTAAATAATTGATGTCACAGATACTCAAGGCTGAAAATAGTCTGAGTGGAACTTCATGTCTATCCTTCACCAACTACTTAGAAAAGGTGGTGACCAGCTTCTGCAAGCCTTCTTGAAAGTGGCAGCCCAGACACTCAGGAGGTCTAGAGCATGCACTAAAGTCAAGGACTTCCTCTTAGTATTTGTCAGCTCTTCTGATCTTGCTTTGGGATCTTAATTTTTTCAGGCCATAGCCAAATCTTGGAGATTTGAGAGATAAAAGAAACTAAGCTCCAGAAAATCTCAGAGCCTTAGCAGTTCTGATCAAATAAGGTTGTACCTTATGGCTGAGGTCCAGTCCTGTTCAAGATAGCTTATTTAGGCCTATGGGGAAAAGAAGCAACCTTCTGGGAAGGACTGTTTGGTCCTAAATTGTCAGCCATTAAATACAAGAGTATTTTGCCAGCAGAATAGGAGAAGCTACTTCCAATAAAGCCAATCAAAAGCAATTTCCCTGCTGAAAGGTGGCCTACCTGAGACAGAGCAGCCTGCACCAGCTGCATGCCGCTGCTGTCAGACTTGGCCGGGTCTGTCAATTAAGGGAACACAGAGCAATCTGTGAGTGCTGAAAGGGATCCCTTCAGAGCCCTCCGTGGCTCAGAGACAGGCCCATTGTCTGCATGCATGTCTCACATAGTTTCAGAGTCCTGATAAGCAGGCATGCCATGAAAAACTACATTATATGGTGAGCTCGGGAATACTTTGTCTGGGGGTAGATGAGATGGGGGTGGGAGAAGAGGTAACACTGCACCTTTGCATTGTGGGAGGTGGGGCAATGAAAGACGTCGCGTTTGGTGGTCCCCCAACATAACCTGCTTTCTCACAAACTCTTGTTGAATGATGAATTCGTGGTTTCCTCTAATTCCCCTCCTCCTCTCCATCCTTGTCATTTCTTCTGGAGTTCAGAAATCAGTTGAGAAATTACTGCAGACTGAGAAGCTTAACCACCTTCAGCTGCTGCCTTGCCACATACTGAGAGCCTTTTTTCCTCTGAATCTGTGACCTCCAGGGTCTATAACTCTGTGGGCAGGGAAGAGTGATGACTTCAGACTTCCATGCATGTGCTGCAGAAAGCATAGAATAGGATATGTCAACATAGCTCCAAGGGGAAGGAATAAGTGGGGTTTTCTCACGAGCTGCTAAGAAATGTTTGCTTTCTTTTTCCTCAGCTTATAGCCTGGTGCCTGGATCCCTTAGTGCAAACGGGCCCTTTGCCTTTCCTAGATGCAGACCCAGAAGAGCTGGTAGTCTTGGATGAGCACCTCTCAGTCTACAGCAGGATGTTCTCTTAGAGTCCCCTGCATGAGCTTGGAGTATGTAAAGAGGTTAGTACATGCAAAAATGCCTGCATAACAAAGCAAATAAAACCAATCTCTAAGTTGCTTTTATACTATCTTTTTAAGCCACACTGCATAGAAGGAGAAGGTTCAAGCAGAACTTTCTCTTTAAAATATCCACTATGTAAAGCTGGTTTTCCATATGCTTGGGAGAATATGGAGATATGGAGACTGTACTCTGTGTGATGGGATGCAAAGAAATGTATACATGGGAGCAAGCAACTCTGTTACTAATGCAGTAGCACAGATTTGGAAAGAACCAATGCTGTGGTTAAACTAAGAATATGAAGGATGACTTGCAAGTGACTTTTCCTAACACTTTTTCTTTCTCCTTCTGGCTGAGGTTTTTTTTTTTTTTTTTTGCACTCACTGAAGCTGATAGTCTCCTTGTTTAATTTTAGTTGCAGGCACTCTAGATGATCTTCATTCGGTGTTTAAGCCAAAGTTTGTTGTGGACCATGCCTACTTCTGACTGTCACAGACATGTTGGACAAAAGCCATTACTGATAAGGCAGTTAAATTCTGTGGAGCTACCAAGGGATGAGCCTGGCCCATACTCTTCAGCTTTCCTATCAGTTTTTTGGCAGTACAGTGGGCTGCCAAAGAGAGGATTGGATTTCTGATCATGCAGTCATTAGTCTTCAGCAGGTATACCCTTGTCAGGCTTTAGTGATTTGTCTGCAGCTCACCCAGTGTACAGTGACACTCCAGGAGATGGCAGGTCCTAGTTTTTCCCAGTAGGGGAATATGACTTGGCTCAGTACATTTGATAAGAAAAATTAATGCATTTGTTATGGGATGGAAGCTCTTCTTTCATCTCTGACTTGGTGAGGTTCATGGAAACCCATCTTTCTTTTCATGTTAAATAAAGCTCCCACCACGGATGCCAAATCCTGCTGTCTATTCTCACATTCTTCACTGCACACACACTTGTACCATACTGTCACTCCTGGATAAAGTTGTTGTGCTGACATATTTGACAAATTCTTGTGTTTCTTTCTGTTTAGATATATATATATATATATATAAATATATAAATATACACACACACTTAAATTGACAAGAGAGACTGCTTTGCTTTAATTTCTCTTCCTCAATTCTTCAAACCAGAGACCTTGCTAATGTTCATATTAGTTTCCTAAAACTGTGTGTTTCCCCTGCATCCTCACATAAATGCAATTCATTGTCTTTCTCCCAGCCAAATGCTGGCACATCATTTTCACCAGCAGCCCACACCATCCACTGAATCACAATGTGGGCTCTGGAGGGCACCTTGAAGAACCTTATAATTTCCTTTGATTTGTCTCTTTTGGTGTTTTTTTTTTTTGAGCCTGTTGAATCTGAGTCATTCTTGATAGGGAGAGATAAGTTGAGGCATCCCACAAAACTGCCAGGTCTTTTCAGCAAAATGAACTGTCTCTTTTGAGTGGCTTATATAAAGATAGTCCTAGCACAATCGTCACATTGCATTTTTACTTGCTTCAAAGAACAGCGGACTAATTAAGTGAACATATTTAGCAGATTGTCATCAGGAGGCAAGTGAGCCACTCAGGGAGATGAATGGGGTAGTTTGTGCTTCTTGGAATTGTTGTTTCAATATCTTGTCAGGCTTGAGCAGATACCAATGGCTTCAGGAAGGGTACATATTCAGTCTTTCATATATGTTCAAGATAGAGCTGAGATGCTTCGTTGTAACATGGAAGCTGAGGAGCAGAAGGATCGGTGTCAAATTGAGTATCCTGGTGCATCCTGCTGTAATATCGAGGTACATTTCTCCTCCTTGCTGTGGTGTTTTTTGACCAAATTTATAAGCCAGTGCTCCACACTGGAGCTGTGTAACAATCTTCACCTGCTCTCCTCAGTTTTTCCTGTGCCTCCTACAGGCAGATATGAGTGATTGGGTGTTTTTGTATCTTTTGGATATGTATGTAGGATATCTAATGGGAAATGTTTTCCCTTCTACCATGTATTGCAGAAGCTGCACAGTCTTGGTGTCTAGCAGAAAGTATAATGCTAGACATCTGCTCCTTGGACCCCCTGGGACCCCCCTGTGGTTTAGAAAATAGAGACCTTTGATCTGTGGTTTGTGTGGGAGAGGTAGATGATGCTGTGGTTTGCAAACAGCTGATGGTTCTCTCTTTCCTTCAAAGAAAAAATAGTGTTGGTGTGTGATGATGCAGGACATCGAGTGACCAATTGGGAGCACACAGCAAGATGTGGTTTGCTCTGCAAGCTGCAGTTCACCAGTGTCATGGTATATTTTTAAGAAAAGGTGACAGTGTTGGTTGTGTCTTTAAGCCACAAGCCTCCTGTAGGGGCAGCAGGGAATGGCCCAAAACCAGCAATAAAACCCCATGAGCTGAAAATTTCCTTCTGCATCTCTCCAGGGCATAATAGCAATTGTTCACCCCAGGCAAAAGGGCTGCCCCTTCTTACACTGACTTGTCTGTAAAAGGGATTTTTGTCCATAGGCACCTACCCCAGCAGGGGCCCTGTGCACTGCCTACTGCAAGTTTAGAGTTCAGAGGAGTGTGACTGCCATTACCTGTCATGACCCTGGAGGTTATGTTCAGCAATTTGGGTAAGGACTGCTGAGAAAATGTTGAGTTTGAACAGGAACTGCTGTGTGAATGTTTGTGTCCATCTGGGCAGGGTGGCATTCAGAGTACACAGCTCTGAAGGAAAAGAGTGAAGCTGTGCTCGTGTCTCTATAATTTTGTGAAAAATTATGTGCAACAGTCCAGTGCTTAGAACACAAAAATCTGGTGCACCTGACTAACCAAATATCTAACTTCCATGTGATCTTGTCTCCCTACAAGGTGAGTATTTAAGGAAGGGAATAAGAACAGGATGCATATATAGTGAACTCTCTGCTATATAGTGTCTAGGAATCAGAGCTGAGAGATTTCTTGAAATGGAAAATATATTTGGCTCAATGACTGGTATTCATCTCTGGATTAATATCAGTCCGTTGGGCTCCCCTGACACAATTGTCTTGGGCAGCAAGTCTGGCAGCATTTGAAAGCTAAGAAGGAGAAGCTGTGTTGGTATGGGTGGAACTAGTGCTAAGACCTGTGGCGATGTGAGTGCTGCCAGGCTTGCCGACCTTCCAGCTGGGAAGGAATAAGAAGGGAAAACATGTAAATCAGCTAGATCCAAAAAACTATAAATACAACAGAACAAAGCCAAACAAAGTGAGACTGAAAAGTGGGTGATTTATTGGCTGTAGAACAGGTATTCCTCACAGATGCCATTTTTGTTTTGCCTAAATGCTTAAGAACCTGATCAATTTCCCTCTGACTTGCTGTTTCCTGTAGTCTCATGAGGTGGCCTCACTCACAGCAGCCTGGATGACTCTGGGCAATGTTCCTCGACAGTGGGCCCTTGAACAGTACTTCTGCAGCCCTTTGAGCAGTAGCCTGTTCCCAGCATGCTCCAGCATTCAGAACCTACCTGCCATGGTTGTCTGACATGCACTGCAGATACAGGACACGGGGTTCTGCACATGGCCCAGGAACCAGGCACTGCAGCACGTTCCTGGAGCCATTTGCCACAGCTCATCTGTAGCTTGTGTGAGAAAGGCCTGTCTTAGGCACTAAAACCCAAGTTTGATGCCTTCTAGAGGCATTGCCAGAATTAGAGGAATGGGATTCTTACAAGAACCCAATACAATTTCTGTTGTTTGTTTTTTGTTTTTTTTTTTTAATCAGTGGTGTGCTGTAAAATTGCACCCTCAGGGCTTACATGTATTTGCAGGAGCGGAGCCCTAAAATTTTTGAATGTGTTTTTTGTTAAATCCTTAATAGCTAGGTGACTCCTGCTTATCATTGCTTCTTCTGCTGACATTTCCAAGGAACACTAGCAGGTCAGAAAGTCAAGTTGGAGAAGCTGAGCTGCTTCTTTACCACATTGCGCTCACCCAGCCGGGTGCTTTATAACTCTGTCTTTAATGATTTTCTCAGCTATTTTTCCTGGGACTGGCGTAAGGCTCACTGAGGTCTATAATTCCCATGATTGCCCTTAGCACCTCTTTTAAAAGAAGTGCAGAGTTTTGGCTCCACTCCAGCCTGATGGGAGAGTGGCTATTTTTAATGATAAACAGAATGATTTTGTTAGTAACTTCTATGAACTTTGAGTTTTTTAGAGTGTTTGCATAAATGCCATCTGGTCTTGGATGTTTCTTATTCTTTTGGTTTTTAGGTTATGTTATTATGTCTTTTTTTCTTCCTTTTGAGTTTCTATCTGTCAGTTTTCAATATATCTGGCTTTGTGCATCCCCTAATACTATTGTTGCTATTTGTGGTGACAGCGTTAACGTAATGTGGTCAAGGTACCCAGATCTCAAACTGGAGACTCTTTATGTTAAATAGTTTACATCTATCCAAACCAAGAGTTATTACCTAGGAGAATTTGTTGACAGGGTAAAGATAAATTGAGCCTTTATCTAATTTTCTGGCATGGGGCAAATGGCAAAAGTTTACTCAGATCAGCTAGGCCAAAAATAACCTTGTGCAACTGTCTGAGTTCAAGAGCATTGCCTGCTGGTGGCAGTCCAGAGTGGAAGGGGTCACAAGCGTACAATTCCACAGCTTTGATGTTTTCATATTCTAGTCCTGTATTTTAACTGCAACACCACATTTGTCAGACTCATTCTATTTTTCTGGATAGTTTGAAAATCTTGATTCCTGTGACTCATAGTCGAACACTCCTGGAATTGCACCCCCCCTTCACCAGCTCGTATTTCTGACTGTGTTAGAGGAATAAGGTATCCAAAATGTCATCAGGCAATTGACATTGTTTAACAACTCACTGTCATTACTTGGGAGAAAGTCTAGGCTTCCCTCTCACAGTTTCTGACTCCTCAGCTCACCTCACTCCTGCTGTCAGCATCTTTCTGAATAGAGTTTGCTAGAAGAGAATGAGCCCTACCCCTTTCTCGTCTCTTCCCTACTCCCAGCAGGCAAGCAATATGGCAGAGTGTGGTCTCC